TTTCCTTCTTTTTCAACCACTCATTTTTCAAAAAACAATATTCCACCCATTTTCATTTCCACAAAGTGAGAGCCAAACTAGAGCTAATTTTCATAATGCAATATGTTCAATTAAGCCATTCTTTGGTCCCCCTTATTTCTAAAATACATATCTTTTATTTTCAACCATGCATTTAGCATTCTTTCATAAAATAACATTACACATAAACAAAAAACTTTTCATTAATTTTTAACCACACATTTTTTATCAAAATACTATTTCAAAGAATCAAAATGTATTTTGGACACAAAAAAGGCTCAAGCAGACTCTAAAAAAGGAATATGTATTTCAGGCTTCGTTTGGTACCAATTTTTTTCAAAATGAATTTTTCTCACTTCTTTTTAACCACACATTCTTTATTAAAATAACATTATACATAAATCAAAAACTCTTTTTTATTTTTCAACCACACATTTTTCATCAATTTACTATTCTAAAATGCATTTTTACATGAAAATGGATATCAAACATCCTCTCATTTAATTGTATCTATATCATTTAAGGCTATTTAGGTGTTGCTCAAAATGGTATTGTAACATCCGTGTTATTAAATAGTATTACTCATTTTTAATATATTTCTTCCTCAACATTTCAGTCTGCAACAAATTTGTTATTCTCTTCGTTTTGTTTTAAAGTAGATTTCAGATTTGGAATCTCTAAGCCAACTTTTATTTTTAATTTTTTTGGGTGGGGTGAGTGAATTTGCCTTTCAACATATTTTGTGACGTTTAGGGTTCTTCGATGTATTAATACGTTGGGCCTTTTTAGTTTCTTTTGAGTATTTGGGCCTTTTTGTTTCTATTTCATGTAGGACATGTAACAATTTCCTCCCCAATTAATTCTTTTAGTTTCAGTTCACCCTTGTTCAACCTTTTGATGCTTTAATTTTTTCCGTGTCAATGTGCAAATCAATTTTGAAAACATAGCTAATTGCCAATCACTGAGTCTTCAAAAATTAGACGATTAAAAACTTAAAGAATCCCATTTTTGAGGTTAATGGATTCAAGAAATTGCCCATTCTAGTTTAGTGCCTATCACAATTGATTACCCATTAGGTCCAAAAAATGGTTCCAAAATTTGAGAAAAAATAAAATAAAAGTATAAAAACATTTAAAAATCAAAGGCCCGCAATTTTTATGCCTAGACCCACATTAGGAGGTCAAAAAGAAGTGGCCGAACCGTCATTTCAAATTATACCTGCATACGTCCTTGCAAGCTTTTACAACCTGACCGCATAAGAAGTTTCATTATCATCCATATTTGTGCAGAATCAGAGTAGGGTGACATTCCTATAATCAATTGTGCTACACGTATGACACGCCGGTGTATACGTCCCCCAAGGGAGGCCCACGCTTTTTTTTATTGGACGTAAGCCCCTCCCTCATGTCTACACCGGTGTACAAATAGCAAAATTCTTTCCATAATATTCTGACCAACTCATATTTTAGTAAAATCCTCATTTTTGGGCTTCAAATTCAAGTGATTTTTCAGCTTCTTAATTTGGTCGAAATTGCAAACATCAACCAGCAACGTTTTTGCTTAATACCTTTTGGCGTGTTTGCTCTTTGGGGAATGAATAGAATTTGACATGTTAAAGAAGATTAAAAAACATAAATCTAGTTCATTATACCGCCCGAGACTGCATTTCAATTGTACACTAGCGTTCAGGCTGGGGTATAAGAATAAGTTATCATGATGACCGGCAAGGAATAGAAAACACCAGGTGAACAAGTTACCTGAAAGATACCTGTAGGAACTCCAGAAACTGGAATCCCATCTCAAGCGAGGCTGCAATGTCACACTGTGTAATCCAGTATTCAACTGCAAAAAACCACAAACGGAATACCAAAATATACCAATGTGCACTCAAAGTGAAGCTTTCCTGAAGTTAGAATTAGAATTTATGACATACGGAGAGGCTGGACTTTTCAAGACGAATAAGAACAGTAAAGCTATTGCTTTATGCCACTTCATTAGCTTAACTCAGTATCGAGCCTTTCCCCTTGACCCCAAAAAAATAAAAAATTAATAACAGAAAAGGTGTCCCCAACCAATAAGATAATCATGAGAAAAGCCCAATTCAATTTTCTAATATTCTTCCATAGATATAAAATCTTCTGAAACACAAAAATCAGCCCATGAATGCACTACAAAGGCACAGTAATGCATAACAAACCCAATACATCGTATTGCTACTAAGATTATTTTTGAAAAACACAAAAACGAAACTGAGTAGTGATACCTTTTCTTCTCTATGAATAATGGAAGGCATATAACTATTAGCATGTTCCGTAAGGACTAAACAAGGGAGGATTGGAGAAAATTAGAATACAAAGCATTGGAGGAGACAGAGACCCAAATTTACTTCCCGTCT